TAGCAGGCATGGAATGAATGATCAAATTTTATTTGGGGGATTGTTGGCCAGGATACCGGAAGAAACTCCTTTCTCTTTTTGAATAGTGCCATGTGATCTATAATGCATCGCATCCGAAGGATGGCACCTCCAACAATGCAACACCCCACCAGTGCTGTATTAGAGCGTCATCTTACATTATATAATTCCAAGTCCCAATTTGGGTCTTGAACCCACAACCTTCTGACTGAGTGCTACTACTAAGCCAGGCTAAATATGTATCAAAAGAAGGCACTTATTTACCAAAGTTTACACCTTTTCCACTGCTGAATACAAAAAAAATGGCTGCGTGGCTACAAATGTACAGTTCAGAGAAGCAGATCTGCAGAGGCTCATTGTGCTGCAACAGTGAAGTCTCAGACTGTTTTACATAGTTGTGATTGAACACTGAGCAATGTAGGAGGAAGGCGTGGAGAGGGGAAGATGACTAAAGACACTTGAATAGATAGGTTTTTTAAGAAGGGTTGTGAAGATTGAGAGAGCAGGTTTGAGGGAGAAGGATTTTGTGAGGCAGTTCCAGAAAGTGAGGCTGAGAGTCTGAAAGCTCGACTGTCAATAGAGTGAGGGGCATGAATCAGACCCCAAGAGATGATTGCAGTGGGAGGGTCGGCAAGGGTGAGAAGGCAGAGGCAAGTTATATTCTGGATTCGAGTGAAATGGATTCGTCATGGGCCAAATATAGAGTTTGAAGGAGAGCAGAGGGTTGTACTAGATTAAATTCAAAGGGTCACATCTTGAATGTGAATCATCTAATTATGGACATTTTTGTGGCTCGTCACAGAGATGAGTCTGGCATATGATATCTGCTAATTTTAGTTTTTTTTAAAAAAAAGTGTTCCCAAGTCCTTCTAACCCTGTTTCATCCTTGTTGCTTTTTAGTTCCCATTAGTGGTTTTCTTCAGCAAAAAGATGAGAGGTTGGGTTTTGCTCGTTAGTCCCGGCTGAAATTTTGCATTTATGTGTTTGCGCATATAATCTTTCATGCCTTGTTGCTGAATAATATTTTGTGTGTTATGCCCCAAGCTCTAGTGGTTTTGTACCTATTTTGGTTTTGTACCTACTCCCTCTTGTGTGCAATCTATGTGTCCGGTTTGACCCCCAGCTGTCCTTCCTTCTCCACATCTGGTCCCTATCCAGGATCGCCTTTCTCCACCTCAGCCACATTGCCCACCTCCTATAATACCTTACCCCAAAGCAACCAAAACTCTCATGCGTGCGTTTGTCACCTCCCGCTTAGATTACTCAAACGCACTCCTCGACGGTCTACCCAGCTCCACTATTTAAAAAAAAATCCAGCTCATTCAGAACTCTGCTGCCCGCATACTTAGCCGGACCGAACTGTATACCCTCATCTCACCAGTTCTGGCCAGGCTTCACTGGCTCCCCATCACCAGACTGATCGATTTCAAGATCCTCACACTTGTGCTCAAATCCATTCACTCCCTGGCACCTCCCTACCTCTCCGACCTCCTCACTCCCCAATCCACCAACCGGTGCCTCTGCTTGACTGTCACTGGCCTCCTGCTCGTCCCTCGCACCCTCCGCTCCACCATTGGAGGTCGTGCTTTCAGACACTGACCCCCAAAACTCTGGAACACTCTCCCTCAATCCCTCCGCCTTGCCCCTCTCTCTCCTCTTTCAATGACCCGCCTGAAAACTTTCCTCTTCGACCATGCTTACAGCCACCTCGCCTCTCCCACAGCTCGGACTCAGGCTCCGCCACTGTTAAGAGCTCTAATACACTACCCTGCGTGGAGGGTGCTATATAAGTGCAAGTTGTTGTTCCATCCCGCAGTCCCTCCGCCTCGCCCCCTCCCTTGCCATCTTCAAGACCTGTCTCAAGACCCTCCTCTTTTACCATGCTTTCGATCTCCCTCCTGCCCCCCCCCCCCCCCACCATCCTTCACCCTCCCCCACCCCGACTCCCAACTCGGGTCCATAACTGTGGCTGTTCAGTGCCTCGCGACGTCATCCCGATGTGAAGGGCGATTTACAAATGTAACTTTGCTGTTGTATTTGCAATTTATATATAAAATAAATCCTTGAAGTCACAAAATATATAGTGCATTTCTGTGAAAAATAGCAAGGCATGAAAAGAGCATTCTCAATGTAGATTTATAATCGCTTTCTATTAGAATTTCCTTTTCTTAAACTTTTAATGAAATATTTATACATCAATTTCACCTTAAGTAGGAAAGCACTTGAGACAGCAACAACTATAAAGCCACAGACCCTCAGATGAAGAGTTGCCATGGACATTGGAATGGTCTGTATTTGAATGTATTTTCCAGAGCCCGTCCATTGTAATTCTGTGATTTGAGGCTGTGGATGTTGGATCAATTGAAATTTTCAAGACTGAGGTTGATAGATTTTTGTGGGGTGAGCGTATCAAGGGATATGGAGCAAAGGCGGGTTAATGGAGTTGAGGTACGGATCAGCCATGATCTGATAGCATGGCGGAACAGGCTTGAGGGGCTGAATGACCTACTCCTGTTCCTATATGAGCAAACCCATTTTAGCAATGTATGCAGTGCAGAAATCCAGTGTTCTAGACCATGCTTTTAACAACACAATGTCATGGGATCTGATGTCTGCCCAAGAAGCCACACAAGAACCTACACTTTGTTTTAAAGAGGATTTTATGCTATGGCTGTGGTCTGGGACCTATTAAATGGGAAAAAAAACATTGAAGCGATTACTATTTGCTCCAGAGGCAAGAATACATCCCCTTAAATTGAAAGACATGTAGGAATTATTAAAGTCATCATTTTTGTTTCTGCAGAAGGTGACGTGTGATACGAATGTAGTTGAATGGGCCCCTCAGCCAAATATCAATTCTTATTGTGAATCAGGGCAGTGACTTTATGGTTATTTTGTAGCACAAGTATGTTATTCTCAGAGGCTTGAAGTTTCTCGTAGTCTTGACCTTAATCTGTGCATTTGATGCACTACCTATATTACCAAAACATCACAAACTTCTTCAAGTAATTGCTATTATTGCTGTATATAAAGATGACAGCATTATATCCACCAGAGTTCTGACAAAGGGCCGTGGACCTGAAAAGTTGACTCGCTTTCCTTTCTCCATAGATGTTGCCTGACCTGCTGAGTGTTCTCAGCGACTCCTGTTTTTGTTTCAGATTACGGCATCTGCAGTATTTTGTGTTTTGATTATAACTGAATTTTCTGATTACACAGTGATTTGTTGATTAGTACATTAAACATATAATGTATAAGTTTCTATCAACTATTTCAGGAACGACCGTGAGCATAATGCTTTGTTTTTTTTATTAAGTTGTTCATATACCTAGTTCATGTATCGATTCTCATCTGGTCCAAAGTGAATTCAAGTGAGCATAATTCTTGAGGCCCCATTCATGTTGGGATTGCAGTTCATGCTCAATTGAAACAATCTCCTCTTTGATGTCCTGATTGATGTCTGCTGCTTTTCCCTGCTATCTTAATTTTATCTTTTGGCATTCACACATAAGGACATTAGAAAGATTAGAATTTATCAACGATGTGATCTTTTTCATAGATAAATGATTTCACTTAGTTGACATTTAAATTGTGTGTCAAAATAATGACGTTTCACATTTTAGATGAGATGTTAGTCTGCCAAAGAACCCCACCTATTTCCTGGTTTAATACTCCACCACCTGCACCAAACTCCATGCACACATCACTCCAGGCCTCACCAGTCCACTGGCTCCCTTGCAGATCAATTTCAAGATTCATGCCCTCGCCTCCAAATTACCATGACTTAGCACCTCTTTAGCTCTCTGATCTTCCCATTATAATAAAGGCTGATAATGCCGTTGCTTGGATCAGGATTCCTGGGATTGCAACCCCTGTAAAACTCATGGATTGTAGAAGTGTCTGCAGCTTGTGGAGGAAAGAGTTGGGAAGGCCGACAAACAGCGAGTTGGCGTAGTCGAGCCTACATGTAATAAATGCGTGGATGAAGCTCTCCTTATAAATTAGCTGTTTGACCACTCTGAACTCAGATTTAAAAATGTTACACAGAAATTAGTTTATTACTGTGCTTTTGTTAACTTTAAAGCTCTGCACCAATTTGATTTGCTACAGTAACAATATTAGCATTGGTAACTTTATCAAAACCGTTAATTGCCAAGTTTATTGGGGGCGGGCGAGAATTGAATTTTTAAAAAGTTTCAGAAGAATTCTGTAATCATGTAAAAATATGAGGCGTAGTCATATTTGAGAAAGATGCAATCAAAGAAACTTAACCTGCATCAAATTAAAAAAAGTTGGGAGAGGAGAATAAAAGCTGCAGACACAGGTTAAATATTCACTGCCTATTAATATGCGGGTTGATAAAAGTAGGTAATGCAAAACTTTGTTGTTTTATACAGATTCCATTTTAGAAATCATATTGTTTAACTTTGACCTCATTGAGAGTTTATTTTAGTATATATACATGTCTCACAATTTGGTAAGATCTATAAACAATACAGTACTTTAATTTTCATCTGTAATTTCATCTCTCTCAAAGGACCCTACAGCTAGGTTTAGATTCTATTTAGGGCAAGAGAAGCTATTATTTTTGATCATCAAATACCATGCTCCCATTTCCCAATTCGGCCATTCTTGTGGCCTTTTTTGGAAATACTTGCAGGTTTGGTTCAGAAGTGTAGATAGTTTTGGGTGTTGTATGCATGAGGAAGTGGTTTTAAATCTCTCAAAGCTTTTTACACACGATTCCTGTAACCTATTATTAGAATCCAGATTGGATGAAAATTTCTCAAGCTTCCTTATTAAATTATCCAACCCTGGTTTGATTTTTTTTTTTTGCAGATGAGTAAAGTTCCTGGTAAAATAATGCTATTATTAATTAGCTCATGGGTTTATAGTTTTCAGTTGTTGAATGTGATTTACTGTACTGACTGACGCACTGTTTTACTGGTGTAACAAGAACTGAATAATGTTGTCTCTGACAGGAAAGACTCCATGAAAGATGACAGAAGAGGTTATTGTTATAGCAAAGTGGGACTACACAGCACAACAGGATCAAGAACTTGACATCAGGAAAAATGAACGATTGTGGCTGCTGGATGACTCTAAAACTTGGTGGAGAGTAAGAAATACATCGAACAAAACTGGATATGTACCATCAAACTACGTGGAGAGAAAGAACAGCTTAAAGAAGGGGTCACTTGTAAAGAACATCAAAGACACCCTAGGCAAGTATAAGAGTTTAGTTAAGGACTCTTTAACCTGCTTTTTGAAACAATGGCAAGCACAATATTTCATATTGGCCTTTGATCTGTCAAAGCATTGTATAATCCATCTCTGATTATAGTAAAACATTGCAGGTATAGAAGTGAAAGATACACTTTTTAAAAAAAAAAGTTTTTCAAATATTGGTGGAATGAAAGGGGCAAAATGTACATCTTTCATCAAAAGGCTCTCCTTGGGCACTTTTTTAACAGAAGTAAACTTCCCTTCCACTAAATAAAAAAAAACTTACTCAAATACTATGCAAAATTACATTACATGCTGTATTCAAATACACTAAAATAAATTGTAACGGCTAAATCATAAATTATTCCAAAGTATCTGAGAGGCTGATCAGGTTTCATGCTCCTCTATCAAATGCTGTGATGTATGAACTACGCGAGTATGTTTGCCTTAGACAGACTCTCATGATGAAAATAATTGAAGTAATAATTAATGTCATGATTACTATAATAGTTTATCCTTTCACAAGTGACCTTAGGAGTCTTTTTTCTGTTTTTATTCCTTCATAGGTTTTCTACCATGTTAAGTTTTACATTTCATCCGAAAAAATTAACTCCTTGGAGAGCATATTAAAATGACTTCATGTATAATATTTCAGTTCTGCCTTAGATCATCTTGCATTCAAGTATGTGATGTTTTTGAGTTGAATAGGTTGCTGCTTGTTTCTTACAAAGGAAAATTCAGTTCAAGTGGAGGTTGGGATTCATTAAACAAAATTCTCTTTGGGGCATTTAGCTTGAACAGTCTAATGTAATCAATCTTGCCTTGTTTTTCTGCTACAGTATTAATTGGAAGCTTACTCTGATGTATTTCTAGACTCTAGTTTCTGTTAAAGGTTCTTTTTGTTTTCTTTTCCTTCTCTTCCCTCCATACTTTAATAGAGAACTGTTTGATACGCATGGAAGCCCAAGCAAGCTGAGAATCTCCAAACCAAACTATAAATACATGGTTTCTGTATGTCCTGTATTGAACCCATAGAGTTTAGGTGCAGACACGCAAGAGCCAAAGCTTGGGGAATCTAAAATGTGCATTGGAGGTACTGCTGAAGTTTAACCAGCTAAAACTGTCCAGTTTTACTATTCTGAACACAGGCAAGGTTCCTGCTGCTTGTCCAGCTAAGGCCATTCTTTCCATTAGGGCTTTGACTTGCAGGGTGAAGAGGAGCCAAGTGAGACAGCGCTTAGTTCTCAGTGACTGGTAAACCTCTCAAAGTCTTGTTTATGAGCCAGGCTGGCTGGTCTATTAGCCTGGAGCACTGTTGACCTGCCAGGTTCAGAAACTGGACTACTGACACATGGCATCAAATTATATTTTCTGAATACTTCAATACATCGCCCATGTTACCGAAACCAAATAAATTTTTTTTGGAACAATAAAGTTTGAAGGTGAGAGACAGATACTTTAACTTAACACTTGTATACAAATGTTGACAGGCAGAAGGGAAGGAATAGTAAAATCCTTGCATTTGATATAGTATCCAAGTTTTCAGTATAGACTGTAATTGTAGGTGAATGTGGCAGCCAATTTGTGCATAACAAGTAGCTATGAATTGAGTGACCAGTTTTTTTTATCCGATTGGTGACCAGGGCAAACTCATATCTCTCTTCAAATACAGTGCCGGATGTCAGTTAACCCTGAATGTTAGGTAACTTGAAGAAATCGCCCGTCCCGAATCAATTGTATTCTTACCTGTATTAAGTATGGCAGTTGATTCAGACAAAAATCTGGTTATTCCAGGCAAAATGCTGCTCTGGTTGCCAATAAATCTACTCACCTGGGCCTTCTGTGTCCATTCAGCCACGAGGAGCTCCAGGATGTAAATAGGAGGAGTCTAAGATTGATTGATAACAGACTCCAGCCATTCACAAGCAGCTGGAGTTGGGCTGTCAATCAATGAAGGGCGGAAAAACAGGCAGAACAAGTGAGAGGAAGGGAGGAGTCAAATCACAATTGATTGACAGCTGAGCAGTTTGTGAATGAATGGAGCCCACCCATTCGCAAGCGGCTGCAGGCTGTCAATCACCTCTAACCCACTGCCAATTGGTCCCCTTCCCGTCCAGTGGGAATGGCAATGGGAGGGAGAAAGCACTGCCACTCTCTGCCGGTATTTTGCACCAAAGAAAGGTAAATATATTTTACTGAATTCTGTGAGGTAAAGGATTGTAACTTTAACTCCTAGGTTAAAACACTTGGTGACCTGTTTGGTTAGTTAACATTACTTCAAATTATACAAAAAATATTACATATTTTAATATGGTGTTGGCAGGGCTCCTCTGCTGGGCGGGAATGGTATTTCATTTTCCCTCAGACACCTCTTAAGCTGGACAAAACGGACATCTCCGATGTGTCCGTCTTGACCGGCTTCCACTGTAGTTTCATGGGATTATTTATGTGAGCAAGCAGACTGGACCTTGATTTTATGTCTCATCTGATTGATGGCACTGCTGACATGCAGCAATCCCCCAGCACTGCACTGAAGTGTCAGTTTATCCTATGAGGTTAAAGACCCAAAGTAGGCCTTGAACCATGGTGCTTTCCGTATTTAAATAATCAATTAATACATCCCGTTGAATGGATTGGACCAATACTAGTGCACATGATAACCTTTTATCTTGTATGATAGTTACTGATAATTTTGGAAGAAGGTGGCAGAGAAAATTGAATCTTCCTATCTGGCCTGAGGGAATACAGGATATCGCATGCAATTCACTCACAATTAAGCAACTGCCAGTCCTGCCAGCAGCAAGGTAAAGATGGCCAGACTTGGGAATTGAAGACTAGCACAAGCATGCCAGTTATAGAAGGTATGAGGGGGCGGCTATTCTTAATGGAAAGAGTCCTTAAGTGTCTTTTTGATGGGGAATGTCAATTCCCTAAATAGACTGCAGAAGAGAGCACCTTTTTTTCCCTTCAGAAGCCAGATTACAAAACCTGAAAATAGCCCTCTTATTTTTTTATTTCATATATAATATATATGTGTATTCTATATGTTAATACAGTAAACCTCACATAAATCTCCTCTTTATAAATCATATAATCGACTAAGTCGTACATTCATCTGAGTCCGATTCAGTTTCAAAGCCACTTAGATTTCTTTGCACGACCTGTATTGATGACCTTCTAACTGGGAACTCTGCTCCCCTACCCTCCATTATTACTGCATTTAACAGCTATCTTGAATCGCGGGAAATGACGTCCTAACCCGTCAACATGTGCACCTACCAGACAGCTGTAGTGAATCATGGAAAATATAGTCTCGATCCGTTGACACATGTGCAGAAGAACTTCATTTTATTAGGTAAATATATATTTACCCAAATAAAATGAAGTTTGGTGGAGTCCTGTAGCGTATTGCTTAGAGCGCTCGCCTCGCAAGCAAGAGGATCCGGTTTCGATTCCCAAGTTGGGGAAATATTAGGCAAGTTTCCTTGCTCCACACGCCTCTGTTTACCTAGCAGTAAGTAGGAACCCGATTGTCAGTCGATTGGGGGATCGCTTTTCCGGGGGTAATAATCGCTTTTAAAAGAAAAATAATAATTGGTCACTCAATCCACAACTGTTTGTGGGACACTGCTGTGTGCGATTGGCTGCCGTGTTTCTCCCCCAAAATAGTCAATTCATTTTACAGTATATTCTGTGAAGCGCTTTGAAGTGTCACAAAGACGTGATAAGGCGCAATATCATATGCAAGAATTATTACTATTTCCCGTGATTTAATGTGATGGCAGCTCTTGCTGGTAAGTGTGCATGCGGTGATGAGTCAAGACGCTTTCAATTGCAGGCAGTGTAGGCTAGACCCGTCATTGCATGCATGCTTATTGGCTGCATTAAATAATGCATGTGCAGTGTAGATTATTTTCTATGATTTAAAATTTGCCTGTAACTTGGACTTTGTCACATTCAATGTAATGCTCCCAACCAATATGCCTTATGTGAGTTTTACTGCATGTGGCATGATATGTTGTTTCTACTCGTGCAATTTGAACCGTTGATAAATATTTTGTGGTCAGCTTTTCCCATTCATTACAACCAGAGTAACTAAAATATGATCATCGCTCTGTCGTGAATCTTCCAATAACTATAACATCACAAAAGAAAAAAATGTCATCTTTCAATGAAAAATTTGTTGTAAAATTGATACATTATTGTTGATGCACTATGATGCCTTAAAAATTGGTCACTTCAATCCACGACTGTTTGTGGGATACTGCTCAATTGGATGCCCCGTTTCGCCCACAAAATATACAGTCAATTCACTTTACAGTATATTCTGTGAAGGTTTGAGACGTCTTGAAGACATGATAAGGTACTATATCAAATGCAAGGATTATTATTATTGCAGTAAGAATAGTGCAGCATTGTGAGTATTTCCATAGCAGTATGGAAAATTAAAATGGCCTCAAATTTGCTACATAAGCATTTAGTAATCAAATTGCAAATCTATTGTTTCCTGCTGTCATGAACTGCTCCCCCTACTGGTGTGACTGAGAACTGTAAAAAAAATTCACTGCTCAGTAAATTTCACTGGCAAACAGCTTGTTGCAGTCGGAAGGATCAAGCCTGTAGTCCAGGTTGACAATCCAGTTCAGTACTGGGGCAGCACTATATTGTAAAGGTGCAGTCCTTCAGATGAAACATCAAACCAAGGCCTGTGTGTCTGTTTAGGTGGATGTTAAAGATCCCATGGCACTATTCGAAAAGAGAATATCAAATGCAAGGATTATTGTAAAAATTACTTTATAGATGTTAACAAATACAGAGTATAGATTATCTCAGTGTAGACTCAGTACAAAAGCAGGATGAGTGACTCAGAAACAGGGTACTTAAGAGATTGTATAAGGGAATTGGATAAATACTTTAAGAGAAATATGAATGGGTTTAGGGAAGGAGCATTAGAATTAGAATAGAAAACGTTAGTTGGACTTGTAATAATAATCCTTGC